TTTTTTTTAATTTTATAAATTACGACAATGATCGTTTGGTGTGATAAATTTCAAAGCAAGGTTCAATGCATAAAGTTTTACAACATACTTTACACTCATATGATGATTGACTTCTCTTTTTGTGTATACTGCATAGAACACATTGATGTGATACCGTTTTACTATCATCTGAAGCTTGAATTTTCTGGGGAAATATCGTCCATTTAGTCTAAGATTAGACGAAATAAATGATGAAACTTCTTGAGAATTTACGTTCAAAATATCTCTTACGACGCTCAATCGAAAATGAGGAAACGAAATCGCATTTTTAATGAGCATCTTGAATAAACTGTGGGCATTTATCAATATCAAATCAATCAAATGAAAAAACAATTTTCTATACCATTTCATACATTTTCTAATAGATTCTGTCAAAGATAATTGTCTGTCGATATCATCGATTTTGCCCATATTTTTGTTATAATCCACGATATAAACGGGTTTTATAATATCTTCATTGGTTTTGTAGTTTTTCCTACCAGTTTTACAAAACTGGTGTTCGTGAATACTTGTCAATACATAAACTACCTTTTTATATGTTGGAAAAATATTTTCAAGGTACTGGGCGTGCTACAGAGTCACACAAACACCCGTTGTCACCCCGGAAACGATACAGAACGAAATAAGCATAACTGACGTAATTTTCGAAAATAGACATTTTCAAAGGCGAATGTTTCTTCAAAAAACCCTAAAATACTTTCCGAAATAGTGCTCCCTACGCTAACGCGAAATAACTTATAACCTACCATAACGTAGCCTACTTTCGGCCTATGCGCAGAATAAGTACCATCGTGCATGCGTCGGAAATCCGTATGTGTACTCTGACGGATCTAACGTTATGGGGGTGACTTTGGGATGTTGGAAAAATATTTTCAAGGTACTGGCTGTGCTACAGAGTCACACAAACACGCGTTGTCACCCCGGAAACGATACAGAACTAAATAAGCATATCTGACGTATTTTTCGAAAATAGACATTTTCAAAGGCGAAAGTTTCTTTAAAAAACCCTAAAAAACTATTCGAAATAGTGCTCTCTATGCTAACGCGAAATAACTTATAACCTACCATTACATAGCCTCCTTTCGGCCTAAGCGCAGAATATGTACCACTGTGCATGCGCGAGAATCCGTATGTGCTACTATAACAAATCTAACGTTATGGGGGTGATTTTGGGATGTTGGAAAAATATGTTCAAGGTACTGGACGTGCTACAGAGTCACACAAACACCCGTAGTCAGCCCGGAAACGATACAGAACGAAATAAGCATATCTGACGTAATTTTCGAAAATAGACATTTTCAAAGGCGAATGTTT